ACCCTTTTATGTAATGATGTTTACTTTGAATTTATATTAGTTCACACAAACACTCCATCCATGCTTTTGTTCCGGCCCTCCGGTCCAGTTTAAGAACCCATTGTGGCCCTCGAGTCAAAAAGTTTGCGCACCCCTGGCTCTAACCACTGAGAAAAACAGGCCAGGCTAGCCTCCTTTTTACTGGGTTGCCTCTCCAGAGACAGATGAAATTCTCAGATTTACTATTTTGATGTTTTTGGCAAAGGATTTTGTGGGAGGAGTGGTAAGACAATTATTCAGGGCTGCAATATTTATTAGCTATGAAGGCCTTAGGATCTAAGCCTTCATTTATGACTCTGTTCACTGTTTCACCCTTGCTCACCTATGTTCCAGATGTCAGGGTCAGGAATCTGATTGTCAGCATTAGAAAGTTTTTCAGTTGGTTCTAAATGCAGGGAAATCACTTTTGGAAGATTAAATGGCTCTGAAATAAAGCAGAACGGAAGTTGTAGAAACAGAGTAGAATGTTCCTTCTGTGTTTTATTCCTCTCACTCAACTAAGACTTCCATAGCTATGAAATATGGAGGGCAGGGAGCAATAGAATTTGATACCACTTATCTGCCCCCAAAATAAAAAACTTACGTTCACCATTGGCAATTCTATTGACACAGTTAGCTTCATGTTCCTTGAGCCTTTTGATTAGGACAACATGACAAGCATTATATTTGCCATTAGCCATCTTTCTAGTTACATTTGGATTTTTCTAAAAGGCAAAAGTTCTTGTTAAATGGCTATCAGGTTTTTTCTGTATTCCACCCTCTATTCCTTTCTGGAAATGCTGAAGACATTAAGAACTGAGAACTGCTAGATGCTATGGATGGCCAAAAGCCTGTTCTTTCTTTCTTTTTTTTTTTTTTTTAAGTATTTAACCTTTTGTATTTTGAGTTTATTTTACCCCCTCCAGTGACTTAACAGTTCTTATGAGGAAAACGCACCTTTCTACATGAGGCCAGATGATATTGTAACCTGCTGGCTTGTAGCCCATTGTTTAGGTTGTAAGAACATATTTCTAAGGCTTTTGGTTCCATGATGCCTAAATAGCAGGGACCATGGATTGGCAAAGAAAATATTGACATTTGAGATCAGGTGACCTATTTTCTGTTCTCAAAAGAAGAATGGTATGAAAGATATGGGTATCTCAAGTCCTAGTTCTGAAACTTTTGGATAACTCAAAGCAATAACCTAGCCAGTTAGATAACAGGAGAAATTCACTGCTTATGTGTCTTGGAAGAACAAAAACTAACATTTTTACATTTTTCTTGGTCTTATAGGTTGTTTTAAGTAGAGCACTTTAAATAGAGTATTAAACAGGCAGGCTTCCTGGGAATACTCATAGTACTGGCGTAAGATGAAGTTTAACACCATAAGCTTGAGTGCTGGAGAAAGCAACCTGAGGCAGCTGGTTCATTTACCTGTTTAGCCTTGCCCTCTTCCACCTCTTCTCCAAACGTATTTAAATTAAGGTCTTTTCCAGAGGAGAATGCTACTTCTCAGATAAGTCAGCATAGCTACTTTTGGGGAGAGAGGATAGGAAGAAGGAACAATATAATGTTTAAATTCAGGCTACTTTATACTTATCTAAGAACTAGAGGCCCGGTGCATAAAATTTGTGCATGGCAGGGGGTGGGGGTGTCCCTCAGCCTGGCCTGCACCCTCTCACAATCCGGGATCCCTTGGGGGATGTCCGACAGCTGGTTTAGGCCCGATCCCACTGGCAGTTGGACATCCCTCTCGCAATCTGGGACTTATGGCTCCTAACTGCTCGCCTGCCTGTCTGCCTGATTGTCCCTAACCACTCTGCCCACATGCCTTGTTGCCCCTAACCACTCTGCCTTCCTGCCTGATCACCACTAACTGCCTCTGCTTTGGCCCCGCCCGCCATGGCTGCTGCCTCTGCCTAGGCCCCTGCTGCGGTGGCTTCGTCTGGAAGGTCGTCGGGATGACGTCTGGAAGGTCATTTGGCTGTCTGGTCTAATTAGCATATTACGCTTTTATTATAGATGCCAGTCTGAAATCTCTAAAGTTGCAGGTATTAACATGAAGACTCCCAGAAGTGAACTAAGAACACACCATCTAAAATCTGTTGCATTTTACTGCCTATATGAGGCCTACTTTCCCTTATGCTGTCTTTAGCTATCCCAGCAGACATTCACTTCAAGGACTCCCAAGTTTCCAGGCAACAGCTATAGCTGAGATTTCTGCAAAGCAGGGACAGCATAGTCTGATAAGGGGGAAAAAAAGATCAAGGCAGACTGGCATAAGCAGCCAGGATTGAAAAGTGCCTAGAATAGCCCATTTCAATTCTGCTTTGTATCATGCCCCAGGCATAGACAAAGGGCGCAGAACTAGACTGTTAAATGTCAGTTTTCCTGAGGGCATTTAGGTGATTAAGTCCAGGGATTTAGATTCAGGTACCTTTCAGGAACATAAACCAGGGTGGTTATTTAAAGCTTACACTGAATATTAATGATTATATTAGAGCCATGAACACTTACTATGAAGTAAATTGGGTCCCTGGAAAATAAGGACTACAGTGCAGCTTCTGGTCAAGATGGGGGTAGTAGGTAAATGTGATACACGAATCCTCCCATGACCACAGCAGAATTACAACTAAACTACAGAACAATCATCATTTAGAACAGTGATTCCCAAAGTGGGTGCTACCGCCCCCTGGTGGGCGCTGCAGCGATCCAGGGGGGCGGTGATGGTCACAGGTGCATTTGGGGGCGATGAGTAACTGCTATTAAAATTAAAAAAAAATTAATTTCCAGGGGCTGAGTAATATTTTTTCTGGAAAGGGGGCAGTAGGCCAAATAAGTTTGGGAACCACTGATTTAGAACCACCAGAATTCTAGCTGAATAGAAGTCCTAGGGACATAAAGAAGAAGCCACATTGAGACTGGTAGGAGGGACAGAGACATGGAACAGGCTGGTTCCACACCCAAGTGTGGTGGATAAAAATTGGGAGAGATTTCTTGGTTGCAGAAGTCCCCCCTGAGGAGTGAGGGGTCCCAGCTCCACACTAGATCCCCCAGTTCAGGGTTCCAGTGCCAGGAAGAGAAGTCCCTATAACTTCTGGTTATAAAACTCAGCAGGGATTGAGGCTGAGTGAGATGGAGGGAAGCTGGAGTTGCAAGAGTTCCTCTTAAAGGGCCCATGCATGGAATTACTCAGATTTTCTTGCTTTTAGCGCAGCACTGGAGCAGCAGCTCAAAAGACACCAGGGACATACAGGGAGGAACTGAATTGTCTGGCATTAGGGCAAGAGCTGGAGGGGCAGTTTTCTCCCAGACAGAAGTGCTGGCAGAGGCCATTGTTTCTTTTCTGAGCTCTCCCCACACAGAACCAGAAGGCTGATGTCATATCTGAGCCTCTGTCAACCTGCCTACCATCATTAGCCCAATCCCTGGTGATTCCCTGAGACTCTGACCCACCCAACTTTCAAGCTCAACCAAGCTGTTTCTAGTGACTTTTCCAATGGCCTTTCTTGGCTCAGGCTTCAAACTTTCCTAAAAATCTCTCAAACAAGCAGCATCTGGCCTCAGCGTGCTCAGTATCTCATGCTAAGAGGCCTCAGGTTTGGCACTAGTGGCAGCTGGCCTTGGTCCACAGCTTGGCTTTGCCTGGGCACTTCCAAGCCCAGCACAAGTAGCAGCCATCTGCAGATCACTTTGTAGCTCATGCTCGGCAACCTTGGGCAGAACACATGTGGTGGCTGACCTTGGCCTGCACCTCCCAGGAGACCCCAGAGATAGCGCACCAGATGGACAGCTTCAGACCACATCAAAGCATCACCTCAACAAACAACACACTCAAGGGGCAGATTAAACAGTCATCAGGGCCCTGCTGAAGTAAGTCCTGCTTTGTGGGTTGGGCCCCTGCACAGTTGATCCTCCATGGTGGTTGCAACAAGTCCTTGCAGCTGAATGGCCTTGGGTTAAGTCCCTCCCATTGATGTGCCAACAGCAATTAAGGATCAACTACAACAGAGGGTGTACATAGCCCACATGGTGGAGTGAGGATGTACCTGGAGTGCCCAGCTTGGGTGACTGGGGAGGTTTTGCCACTGGGCCCTACAGAATATCTACACTAATAAAAGAGAAACATGGTAATTAGTGTACGACCGCTACCCTTCCCATTGGCTAATCAGGGAGATATGCAAATTAACTGTCAGCCAAGATGGCGGCCGACAGCCAGGCAGCTGATGCGAACAGGGAGGCTTGCTTCCTTCAGTGACAGAGGACTCCAACGTTCCCCGCCTGCCTTGCCGGCCTCTGAGCTTCAGTTGGAAACATTGTAACATTTATAGAAGATAAACAAAACCCCAGAAACCTCCTGTCAGTCAGCCGGGATCTCAGAGCTGGAGTCGCAACATTGTTTCGAATACAGAAAACAAAGGCCAGAAACCTGCTTTCAGCAGCCGAGCCTCAGAGAGAAAGCCGGCTCCCAGCTCCAGTGACAGCCATAGAAGGTAAATAAATGCCAGAATAAAAAAAAAAAGAAAAAAAGGAGAGGTTTGGAGCTTCAGTCGCCCGCCAGCCTGAAAACGGCCCTCAGCCCCTCACCCAGACTGGCCAGGCACCCCAGTGGGGACCCCCACCCTGAAGCAACAAGATGGCGGCTAATTTGCATACTGAAGGCAGGCGGCAGCAGGCAAGGCTGTCTGCGGTCTGGGACCCGGATCTGTGACCCTGCCAGGCGGGGGGCAG